AGCATCAGCGTGAGTGCCCCCCCCCCTCCCCAGCCCCCTCCCCACGCATGAGGGTCCCTGGTTGACTGTATTTATCTCTGCATAAAAAGGGGACACTGTCAACTCCCTGACCTTGCTGGCTTCAGGGCAGAGAGGGTTTGGCCATGGCAGTCAGCCCCTTGCAGAACTGTCCCACGTTTGGAGAGGAGGCCTTGGGGAGAGCTGCTGTGGGTCTGCAGAGAGCAGGTCTCCCTGGCAGTCACCTCCTGCCCCCCTGGGTGCAGAAACACAGTTGGCTGTCACAGGGGCCAGCCTGGTTCAGAGGGCGAAGCCCAGGATGGAAAGGAGCTGAAATCCTGTCCACAAGCACCAATTTGCTGTTGGTGCAGCAGGAAGAGGCGAGGAGAGGGTGGGGAGGGGAGAACCTGCCCCCAAGGTGTGTGGGTGGAGCAGGGCCACCCCTGTGACAGTGTCCCCTTTGCCTTGGCTGTAGTTCTCTGCTTTCCATGTGCTTGGGCCCCTGCCATAAAGCCATCCCTGTGCTGAAAATCTACATCTGTGCTGAACAGGCAACTCCCCACGAGGGTGGGAGTACCCCAACCGAAAAACAAACCCCAAATTAGGATTTATGTGCAGCCACTGCCCAGCTCAGCAAATCTCTCTCCTGCCCCTGGTCTACAAGACCATCTTGTTCGTATCTTGTCTTATAAAATCTGTGGGAAAACATTAGTGAGAAAAATAATTTGATTCCCTTCCCTGGGATAAACTTACATGTTTGTGGCTGTGCAGCAACAGCCACCACTGTGGATATCTGTGACTGCATCTGTGTGCCCCAAGGCTTCCAAAAACCCAGGAGAGGTCAGGAAGGGTCACAGGGACAAAAAAAAAAAAAAAGAGAGAAAAGAGAAAAGGGACCATCAGTGGGTGGCAGGACAGAGCTTGGGGGTGTCCATGGTGTGAGGCATCTGAAGGTTTCTCTCATAAGCATTTGCTCTGTGAGTCAGTCAGGGGGTAGAGCTGCACTGAAAAGTATTTGTAGTTGTTCTGGGGGATAATTCCAGACTCTCGTGAGCAGCCCCATGAGGAAGAGGGGCAGTGGGGCTGCCCTGTGCAGAGTCCCAGGCCCCACAGAGATTGGTTGAGCTGGAGGCTGCTTGTGTGAATGTTCAATAAATGCTTTTTCATCTTGCCCAGCCAGGCAGATTAGGTGACATGTGAGGCCCTCCATCTCCACCCTGTCCAACAGCAGGATTTTCCCACCTTCTGAGTGGCAGCTGGAAGTTCCCAGTGTGGAAATGTTGCCAGCTGTAGCAGCTCTGTTGTCTCCAGTGGGCACTGAAAGGGCAGGGAACACAAGGGTGAGTCATTGGTCTCATGTAAACTCTCATCCTCACAACTGGGTGACAAAGTGGCTTCTAAAACCCTCTCAAGCTCCCAATTTCCAATTAGGGAAAGGTGATATATGTAGGAGTGACCAACCTGCTGCTTTCTCCCAACCTGCCTCCAATTTCCATGACCAAGTGCTAAACACAACATGTCCCACAGAAGACTCACATGGGAAGGAGTGTGGATGAAGACAGGTTATCAAAAAGACATTTAAGACTGTGAAAGCAAGGTACAATTGGGGAAAAAACTAGAGAGTAACATGTATTTATGACTATTTATTTAATTTAATGCTGCTGACTACTGTACTGCTCCCTGACTTTTTGCCAGGGAGGCTGCTGAAATGGCTGCTCTACAATGACACTGAGGTGCTAGTGCCTGGGAAGGGCATTCTGTGGCTCATTTTGGGACAGGAGGGCCCTGACTCCCCACTGTGACTTGCCAGACTGTCCCAGAGTCCTGTTTCCCCCATTACTCACTCCCACAATTGCTAAGCACAGAAAATTCCCCTGCTGCCCATCTTCCCCCTTTTTCTAGACTTTAATTTCAAGCACCAGGCAAGAGGACAGAGAGGAGGCCCTGTGGTTCACCTTGCCCATGCCAGGAAAAAAAAAGGAACATCCTGAAAGACACAGCTGGGATGTTGGGGTCTCTTCCACCTGGCTGGGAGGGGTTTGTGCCTGGGTGGATTTGATCAGTCAGGAGGCAGAGAAACCCTCCTGTCCCAGGGGGTGATGAGCAAGTGCTGCTGGTCAGGGTTGGTTTCTCACCAGTTTCACACTCTCTTTATAGTCAGGGAGGCAAGAAATCCATTCCCTCATCAGTGCATCCTTCCTCTGCATCCTTCCTTCCAGCTTTAGCCATGGCTTTAGGCTTGGGATGTTCCCTCTGACTCCCTCCTTCCCTCCCTCCCTCCCTCAGGCTGGGCCCCAGGGACAGCCTTGCACAAGCTCTGTTAAATTAATGTGAGGCTGCAGTGGCAGCTGTAACAATCTCAAGCACTAATATTTATTCTACCTGCACATCAGATTGGGTTTTTAACATCTGACATCTCTCCTGACACACAGCAACATTAAATCCTTTGTTCTGGGCACCCACCAGAACCTTGTACCTGCAGCATCCTTCAGAGGGAGGTTTGTCTTTGAGGTTCTTTTTCTCAAGATTTCTAGTTACTTTCTTTTTCCCACTTGGCTTGGAGTTGGATAGGATCCTTGATCTTTTATTGCCTCTTAATTTATCACAGTAATAATAAAAAAGGGGAAAAGCAAGGTCTTTTTCTCAAGGCAAAACCCACAATGGCACTAAAGGTGAGGGCTCAAACAAAGCTCAGATTAAAGGTGAGGGCTTAAACAAAACCTGGGGGTATTTTCACTTAGATGCCTTTGTGTAGAAAGCTGTGATAGGAATCACCTGCTCCTGATCAGTCCCAGCTGACAGGTTAATTCCTTCTGGAGCCATAGACAGTTTGGGACCATGATTGTATTTCCTGGAGAAATCAGCAATGCTTTTTAGGAGTGAGGTTGAGCAACCTGAATAATGTTCCAGGGGGTGGTACTTCCCTCAGCATCCCAGCCAAGTCATAGCTTGGCTTCCACTGTCAGGGTTTTGCTTCTGCACTTCATCTGTGCCAGAAATCCCACATTATTTTCGTGGCAGACACATTCCCCTGCCCAGCCCTCCCTCTGTCCTTCCCACCCTGCACATCTGCCAGGTGAGCACAGCTGGGGTTTGATTTGCAGGATAGGAACAATAAAAAAAAAAACAGGGGTTTTTAAAAAGGCATTTCTCCAGCCAGGCATGCAAACTAATGCCAGCAGGTAGGAGCCCAGTTCCTGCCAAGTGAGATGCTCCCTAGTGAGGGGGGGGAGAAGGGGGAGCAGGAGGCTTCAATCTGCCAGTTTGGGTATCTGTTTTTATGGGAGAAGGGACATAACTCACTAATACAACCTCACCTCTGATGAACACACACCTAATGCTTACCTTGAAGGAGCTGTTGGGGTTATGGCATCTGGGATGAGCTCAGGGTGGATTTGAGGCCTGGGTAACTGCCGTGCCATCAGGCATTCCAAATGTATCCAGTGCAGCACCTGTGTCTTGGGGAGGACCAAAAGACAGGTTATTCCAGGTGTAAGATGCCCAAGACAGGGGCAGTGCTGGGGCTGCACGTTCCACTTAGGAGAGAAAAAGGTACCTGCAGTGGTCAGGAGAGGAGTGAGCTGTGGATTTACAGGATAACCTTGTTTTTGGGTGCTCTGCTGATAACCCCAGGCATGCTTCAGTCACAAAACTTCGATATTACTTGATATTAGCATACACCAACTTCTGCATAAATCCTCTCTGGCTCCCTCATGTCTTTTGGGAGAAGAGGAAAAAGAAGAAGTCACGGGGCTTTGATCTCCCCTAACACACCTGAACTGCTGCTGACAGAGCCTGCATTTACACACAGCTCAGGCTGTGCCTGTCTGCTGGGTGACACCTGAGCCCTCTTGTCTGCTTTAGATCTAATAAAGACAAACCTCAGAGATATGCAACGTGCCTTTAGTGGAACATGAGCCTGTATTAAAAGGGGAAGGGTTTCAAAGCACAAAGCTTTGCTGGATTTGAAGCCCTGGCACAAAACTGGCTCTGAAATAATGATGCCTTGCATTGGCATATCTCCTCTAGGAAGGCTGGAATGCTGATTTTGGAATGCTGGTCTGTGTTCTTATCAGACAGACCCTGTTCAGTAGCTCATCTGGGTGTAGATGGGGACAGACTTTTCAGCCTGCTTGCCTCCTCAGCACTGTCCATGTGTCCTACATAAGAAACTTTTTCTTACCTTTATACAAGAAGGTAGAAATTTCTTTTCCAGGTAGTGACTGGAGACACTTTTGGTCTGGGTACTTGCTCAAGACCTTTTGGATTTGCTGCACTAACTAACTGTTCTAACCAGGAGCACTCTCTCAGCCAGTGTCTGCTTTTCCCAGTGAGGACAGAAACAAACCACTTCCTAATTCAGAGGTGGAACTTTCTGCTTCCACAGCATGCAGAAAAATCAGTCTGAAAATCGCTGTTTGAAGAACAGTGCCTGGCTCAGGGGGAAGCAATTCCATCCTGTTTTCCCAGCCAGCTGCTGTCATCCCACAGCTCTTGACAGATCCCTGCTCAACTCCAGGAGATCTCCTGGTGGGATCCCTGCCAGGGTTGCTGCCACGGCCACGTTTCATGGCACAGTCACGTGGACTCTCTGACTTAAGTCTTTTCAGCCAGTCTCAGCACTAGTTAAAACTCCTGGCAGGGGCTTGCTCAACGCAAAACTCGAAGCAGAGACTCTCAAACCAAAGCCCCCGAGGTGAGTGGCTCACAGAGCAGTGTCAGTGTGGTTCCTGTGCTGATGTCCCAGCCCGTCTTTCCCCGGACACGCTCTGCTCTCTGTGCTTCGCAGTCCCCACAGCACGAGTCTCTCTGTGCCATAATACCTTCCTTTTTCTAGATGTGCACACTGGCCAAATAATCTCCTCGTGTCTTGATGGACTGCTGGTTGAGGCCATTCCCTGATCTAGGCAGACAGCATGGGCTTATCCCTTAGCATGAGTACGTGGTGTGCCATGCCCTCCTCTCCCACGTTTTGCAGTGCTTGCTATGGCTTTTCCCTCTCCCCTCAAACCTCTGCTGCTGGACAATCATTCCCTGTGTCATAGATGGACTGACCTGGTGCTGTCCCTGCCTGCCTTTCCCTCCTGCAGTCTGTATGCTCTTTAAGTGAATGTGTTTTACTTTTTATTTTATTTTTTTTTTCAGTAGGGAAAAGGACTTCCTTCTGCTGAAGGAGTTATATTTGCACATGGCTCAGGGAGGTTCCTCCTCTGGCCGTTTCTGTTACCTCACTCATTTAGGCCAATTCCATTGCTAACGTTCAAGGCCACTTTCCCCATCCCAGACTCCCAGAATAGTTAGGGAATAAAACCAATGTGCAGCTCAGGTTCTAGAGCCACGTGGTCGTGTCTCCGTTTGGGAATTGGGATTCGGGAGAGCAACTGTTCCAAAACAGCAGCTTTCTCCAACGGGGACAGGGGTGGAGCTGTGTCATTCCCATCTCCACGAGCCCACCTCCCGTGGAATAGCACTTACAGGGCAGAGATGGAAGCACTGACCTGGCTCTGGACACGGAGGGAGGGAGGAGCAGCAGAGCAGCACAACCGCCCAGGAGTGGCCTCGCGGTGGCTGTGGCACCTCTGGGACGTCACCATTCCCGTGGCAGTTCGTCTCCCATCACTGGGATGTCACCATTCCCGTGGCAGTTCATCTCCAGGCCTGGATAAAGCTGCTAAAAACCTGGAACGTGTCCTCCCCGCCCGGCCCCCGCGCCCCTGAACCGCTGTAACTGCAGACTGACGAGGGAGTGGGTCCTGCACTTCCCTCCTGGAATTCACCACCAGAGCCTGGGAACAGGGGGGGGCTGGAGCACTGAGGTGAACTGTGGGGTGGGGAAAGCCCCCAGTGGGGTGGTTTTAGGCGTGGTGTGACTGTCGGGACCTTTGCGCTGTGCGCAAACCGCGGTGAAACGCTGCTGGAATGACCTGCTAGGACCTCTAGGAACTGTAAAGGCTCTGCAGCCAAACCTGGTGTAAGTAGCTAGTACATGGAAGTACGGTATCAATTAAAAACTCTTATCAACCAGACAGTGTGTGTCTTTGTTCTCTTTATTATCCTGCCTGTTCTGGAGTCTCTCCTGTCGTGCCCGAACACAGAGTCTTTGCAGAGACCAACCTTTACCACCAGCCTTGAAAAAACCCCAGTTTTTCACTTGTTACTCTGTGAGATTCTCCAGCAAAACTTTTTTTCTCCTGCCTACAACACCACATCTGTCTGCAGGAACTGGAAAAGTGAAAGATGTGTCCCAAAAACACAAAAAGCATCTCCAGGAGATGCCCGTGTGGGATACGGGGAGGTGCAGGACGAGGGGACGGCCCTTCTTTACCACCTGAGGTAGCTCTCAAGAAGTTCTTAGTTTACTCTTTTTTTGACTTAACCAGAGGGTTTTCAGTGCTTCACAGGGGCTGGGGAGCAGAGCTGAAGTGAGAGAGAAGTTTTGTGACCTTACCTAAAAAAAAACAAAATCAAATCTCCATGGGCTCATTGTCGTGGTCAGTGCTGGAAACTCTGGAGTTAAAATCTGCTCCCTCCTCTCTTGCTGTAGGTTTGGAGTTGGAATAATGCAGGCAAATCATTGTAGGGAAAATGATAACATCCAGCTGAACTTGAAGAGGGGCTGCTTTCCCCCCCCTTTTGGATATTAGGTTTTAGGGAACTGGTGCCCAGACTACAAGTGGAAAGTGTGCTCCAGTTGCCAGACTTGGCTCTGGATTTGGGAGCAATCCTACTGCACTGTAGTAGTTTACTAGACACCCACTCTAAAAAAAGGGTTGTTGAACAGCTGCCAGTTAGAAATCTGGCCTGGGCCTGACTTACAAATGGAGTAATTTCCGTGATTTTTAGCAAACACATAAAAAGCAGCAGAACAAAGCAGAGGGAATTCCATAGGTGGGAAGCATGCCTGGAGTCACAAGCACTTTGGAACTACTTGGAAGCATCAGTGTAGCAAAATTTGTCAACTCTAGCAAGCAGTACAGGCTCCATTGCAGCAGGGATGTAACATCTGCCATAGGACAAACCCAAACCTCCCCCACTTTAAGGTACAATTCCACCCTGGCCAATCTTTCTGCCTTTTTCCCCCCTTCCAGTCCCACTTGTTGAGCTCAACTGATCTACATGGGAGGCCAGAAAACAAACTTTACTCTGCTTAACCCTCTGAAAAGGTAAGTTTGCACAGGAAAGAGGGAATTTAGAGCGTGATTCCTGGGCAGCAGGGGGTCATTTAGAATGAATGCTGACTATTCAAACCAGTGAGCAATTAGCACAAGAATTAGGACTAACTGGGAAAAATGGGTGTTTTCTGTCTGTCCCTCTAGATGGTGCTGTGCTGTAGCATGAGAGAAGAATGTAAAATGTACAACCATTTCACTAAGGTGTTGTCCTCCTGTGAGGGCTTTGCCTCCTGGTTATTTCTCTTGCATGAGGCTGCCTTCCTTCCCGGGGTTTCCCAGAAGGAGGTGGATCCCATACCTTGTCCTACTTGCCTGGTTGCTGTTGCAGGACGTGGCTCCACAGGTTACTCCTACCACTGTGTGTCTGTGTACTCCAGGAGTAAACCTGCTGTGCAAGGCAGATGGAAGGAGCTGAGAATATTGACACTTGCTAAATGAAAGGAGGGACACAGGGGATTCTCATACTTACATCATCCTGCCTCCCAAAGCAGGAATATTTCAGGATCTGTTCTCAATTCCCTCCAGAATCAGGTGCCTCCAGGCACAGGGGCCCATCCTTCCTACTGTGCATTTTTAACTATTTTAGTGCATTACAGTCCCACCCTACTCTGCCTGTGCATGGGCAGCTCAAAGTCCAGACCAATTTACCAAGCAGCTAATTAAATAAATTCTTCCTGTTTTGACACCAGTAAGACTGTTTAGTCTGCAATACGTGGTGGAACATCACCCTAAAATGCCCTCATCCCCAGTCCTGCAGGTCAGAGTGACATGACATCCATACCCTTTACCTCTGCAATGGAGAACTAGCATATTTAGCAAATAAAGGTGGTGGTGACAGCAGCTAAGGAATGACAGGTAACATTTACAAAGCCATTGAGGTGATGATGGAACTGAAACTTGGGAAGGAGCCGTGCTGCCCACACCCCTGTGCCTTTTGCTCAGCATGCTTCAACAGAAGAGTCCTTTAGCAATGGGCTGGCAGCTCAGGATGGAGTCATGAGACCAAAGTCAAGGCTGTACAGAGTCCAAGGCAAATGGAAGAGAATTTACACTTCCCCGTGTTTCCTCCCGGCGGCGCAGAGCTCCCCTCAAACCTGGCTGGCATGATGTGGTCCTTCTGTCTTCAGAGCCCCTGCAAGGGAGAGAAGCCCTCTTGGACCTCACCAAAGTGAGGGTTGTGATGGGATTAGCACAGCAGCTGACGGGACAGGAGCAAGAATTTAAAAGGTTTTAATCCTTCCCAGCAGATGTTTCCTTTGGGGATGGAGCCCTTGCAGCCCTCGTGGGCACAGCTCCCCATCTGCAGGGGGTGCTGATGATTCCCAGCTCAACGGGAAGGGGCAGAGGAGGTGTAATTCCATCACAAAAGTGAATGTGTGTGTTGGTTTGGGGTTTAAAGTAGGATGATTACACCCACCACCTAAAGGCACCTGTGTTGCTTCTGAGGCCCAGAGGAGGAGCACAGCCGTGCTCCAGGAGTCTCCCATCCGCCTGTTCTCCAGCCCTACAGCACCTAACTCACTTCAGGGAGGCTGGAAGGTGGACACACAGAAGCAGTGACTGAGTTTCCTCATGCCCTACCTTGGTGCCGTTCATTCTGCTGTCTCCTCTCCGCTATTCCTCCACAGGCACGGCACAGTTTTCCTTGTTTTCTGATGGAATCGCAAGATAGTCTGTCCTGTAGTTGAAAGGGAAGGAGGAAAGCATAACCCCAAGTGCTACAGTGCAAAAGTCAGTTTGGGTCCATTCCCCTGGAGGTGTCTCTGAGGTGACAAACGTCACCTGTAGAAGATGCTCGGGGCGGGAAACTCCCCTTGGCATAGTCAGGAGCAAACACAGAGTCTTCCCTACTGGAAAATCCTACACATACAGCCTTCCTGCTATGTACAAAGAGCACCCTTATCCATGCCAAGTGTGGAGAAAGATGGGAACGGGCCAGTAAGAAACCAGCCCTTCCAGGAGAGCATCTCTGGGATACCACAGTGTGGCCACGCTCCCCACCTGCACTGTGGAAGTGCCTCTTGGTACTCCTAAACATTACAAGGATTTTTGGACACCCAACTAGACCATGCAATAGCAAGGTTCAGTTTTCTTGCAGTCTGATCTGGCCTGGGACACCTGAAGAACCCTGGCAAAACAACTGGGACCTCCAGAGGTTCCACACTTACGCGTTTTCCTGGGCAGCCTCCTCTGCCTTGGAGACTTTCCTGTAGCAATAGACCATTTCTATCAGCAGCCACAGGGTGAGGAAGACCAGCAGAATATACATCATAATTTCTGAGATGACAGAGGTGAAGTCTTCTCCAGCTGTTCAAGAAAATGAAACAGTCTCTGATCGTGGGAGCACAGCAGCTCCATGGACACGTCCCACCCTTGTGTCATCCTTCCTAGATGAAGATATCTCCTTGCCAGAGATACCCAGGTGCCACTAGGCTGTGAGGGGGTAAAAGAGAG